ATTATTATGTTTATTCTTGTGCTACAATGGAGTGCCACTCAGCGTCAATGCTGAGCGGATAGCGTTGTTTTCCTTTTTGCTGTCCGTAGGTGATCAGACAGATGAATCTAGAGCCGATCCCAGAGGGCATTGAAGAGGAGATGTACGATGGCGTGGCTGTCTCTTTAATCTGTAGTTATGCTTTATTTAATTAACTTTAATGCTTATTACGTTTTCGGGCAAGATCCCAAGTTGTTTGACTTTAAAAGGCTTCTGCAAAATTTTAAATCACTCCGATGGATTTTTATATGTATTGTTGGAATGTTTGTTTTAAATTGTTTTGAAAATGTTGTAAATTCGGATACCAATCCAGTGGCACACCGGTCTGCTGTCTCACGGGTTTGGGTTACGCGGGTTGGGGTGTTACAGTATCTGTCCAATCTGGAAAGATTGACTTTATATATATATATATATATATGTGTGTGTGTGTGTGTGTGTATATATATATATATATATATATATATATATGGGCCGGTTCAGGTGAGAATGGCCCTCAGTGAAAGAAATGAGAATGAATTATATTCGTTGATATGACTAATCTAAAGGCCTAAATTAAATCTAAAGGCTTGGTCCATTGATGAGTAGATACGGTAAGTAATAAATCATTTCCATCAAATTAGGAAGAAACTAAGTGCATAGGGGCATTGTGGTCAATTTGACTCAAATCAATTAAATCGTACACAAATGGTCCTTTTTTTGATCTTCTGCTGTGCTGGTATTAATTTAAAGGCTAAAAGTATAATTTGACACCAACATTATGTCTAGTGACGTGTTCTGATATTGGTTAAGCGGATAACAAAAAATAATGAATATGATTGTGTGCTAGGATTCTGATGAAAGACCACATTTGTAGACTATGGTTATAGTAGAATGTGACTGTAATTTACAAACGATGCAAACAGAACAGTCTTTGGAATTGTGTATGACAAAAAAGATATATTATTATTGTGAAATTACACTTTTAGCCCTCAAATTAACACCAACATGATAGAAAATAAAAAAAGGACTATTTGTGGAAAGATACTCATAAAAGAAGGACCATTGGGATAATATTTGATAATAGAGGACTAAATAGGGAAACCCCCATGTTATAAAGGACCAATTATAGAATTTACTATATTCATTATTAGTTGATATTGTCATATTCATTAATGGCTTTATATTTTGTTTTTCCGTTTGTTTTAATAAAATCAATAATGAATAATTGTTTGTTGGAAAATTCTATGGTGGAGAGATGCACTGTGCTATCCACGATGATAGATGTTAAGTGAATGCACTATAATGATTGATATATGCATTGTGATTTGTCCTTTTGATTTTATTTAATTTAATTCTTTTAATTTTTGAATTAGTAAATGAAAACTCACAAGTGATTTTGTATGTAATCAGAAACCCTGAGAATGCATTGTATTCAAAACAAGTGTAACAATAATATGAGAAATAATTTGCCTATGCAGGATTCGAACTCACATTTGTAGTACATACCGCTCTACCATTTGAGCTAATAGGCAACTATTTATTTTTCAAAAAAAAAACTCATCTTGCCCTTGGACCTATTAAATACACATTTTAATCTTTTAAAAATTGCATCATTCAATGTGGTTTTAACTCATATTTAAGTATATCACAGAATATTTTAAATGCATCATTATTTGGAGAAAATTCACTATATAAAATAAACATATGCATCATATTTGTATTAGGAGAATTTCACCATCTCATAGATGAATTTCACACATATTCTAAGAATGCAGAGTAATGGAATGCATTATCCTTACCTTGTTTCTATAATGCACTCAGTTATTAGGTAAATGCATTATATTACATATATCCGGATAATGCATAATTGAAGGAATCCATATTTTAGTCATTAAAATTTAACTATAATGCACAACATATTACACTACAACTTAAATATGCAGTTAGAACAAGTACCTTGCTCAATAAATCAATATTAGTGTTTTTGTTGCACTTTTTATAATGTAAAATATGGGCGTAAAGGATGCAATAGAATAAAAAATATAAATTAAAAACAAAACTTTATGATGTGTGAAAAAAAGTTCAAAGCTAATTTAGTGTATCTTGCTCACTACGATTCTGAGAATGCATTATCCTTTATTATTAGAATACTTTTCTTTCTCTGGTAAATGCATTATCTAGATAGTGATAATGCACAATAACAGAATCTCAAGCAAAGCGGTACACTCAGAGTATGTTGGAGTTTGCATCAAAAACCTTAAC